GGTCGCCGGAAAAGCTCTCGTAGGATACTTCGTCCCCTGGGTAAACACGACCACCTGTTAAGACTTGCAGGTACGCACCCACACGGCCACTATTTGCAAGCGCGGGTAGCCATGAGTCTTTTTGGCCACAGCGCCACGAGAGTTTCATGCATGGCACTCGAGCGCCGCTTTTGACATAAGAGATTAGCAATTGCACATCCAGGAGAGTCCATAAAGGCTAGAACTAGTATAGTTGGAACGGGAGGATTCTGATTTAGTAGTCGCTGAAGAAGGGAGTGATTAACTCCGAATGTTACTTACCACACTTGTAGTCTCACCGTCTTCCCAATTTTCCAGATATCTCCGATATGAATTTCGTCCTCGAGTTGTACTTTATCCTTGAACCGGACTACACCATATGAGTTTAGTTCGTCTACTGTGGCCAAAGCAAACTTCGGACTTACTAGTTATATTTTCTCCCCAATGACACCATCTCCAGGAAGACCGGTCGACATTGAGTTCATTGCACCAATAGTCATAATGTTCCGCGAAACAAACATATACAGGTCCATCGTGCACTGCGGGCTTGTTGCCAAGGATGCCAGACTCGTTTATTTCAATGTAGTCCGAGGGTGAAGTCAAAGGATCACGAACGATGGCTGTGTATAATTTGATGCCGCCGACATCATGGTACCTGGGCTTCGAGGTACTAACAGCAAGGACCTCCATCATAAGGTCCAAATTTGTGATAATGAATTTTTCTAGGAATGCCCGACGTCTTGATTGTAGCAGCATCTGAGAAGTCCAAGCCGGGTTGAAATACTCGTCACCGAAAGGGGGCCCGCAAAACCCGAGATTCAGACCGCCCCCGAACTACCCCGTTCGGGCTCGGGTTGAGAGGCGATCCTCGGGTTTTAGCTCGTGCCCAATTCATCTATTCTTTTACCAAACACGGATGTGTACACTTTTCGGCCGATACATGTTGACAAGCATTTGCATTAGCAAGTTACCATCCGGTTGCGTGAAATGCACGCAGTCGATCTAGACACGATTGGATCGTTGTTCATGCAAGCAAGCAATACTCGATCGTCGTTCCGCATATCCGCCTTTGACCGCACATCTTAGCGCTCAGGTCTAATGCAACAGACTCAGCTCGCACCCGACATAATACGATGCCAAATTAGGAACTGTTGACAATTATGCTGGAACTAATATTCTAGTCGTAATATGCCCCGGACGTGTTCTGATGATTCTAATGCCAACAATTCGAGTGTGCATATTGCAAATCGTCTATTATCTATTCGAGATTAGGTGTTTTCGAGTAATCTATACCTTCTATGGTCGTCGTACCTTGGAATTATCTCCGAAGCAGCCCAGCTTTGTATTGTGTTGTCATGTCTCATGCGCTCTGCCAAGCATATCGGCTCAGCCACGGCCCCGATCTGTGATGCCGTCCCGGATTGCTAGCAACTCCCCGCTGACGTGTCATTTTATACATGTCTTCCACATACATCACACCTGCGGTTCGCTTGGACTTCTTTCTCGAAGGAGAATCCAATAGTCCACCGTCTGATCCTGCCGTATCCTGCGTCCCCGCCGTTAAACAGCCAGCCACTAAATGCAAGAAAAATGGTAGAGGATGAGAGAAACAGGCAGATGATTCGGTAATTATTTATTACCAGTCAGGGAGAACATGCCACTGATCATCAAACTTCAGCCCGGCCCCTCCGATCAGATTGCAGTCTCCGTGTCCCCACTTGCGCCGATAGACTTCCTTTCCAGCCTCGGTCAGAACTTCAAGCGCCTCCGTGAAACCAGCATTGTCATAATAGAACGGCTCTCCCTGTCCACCATGCTGACCGGCCTGCCATGTGTTGCGACCGCGCTCGCCGTGCTTGTAATGGAACATTGAGTCCGCCACGCGGAGTAGGACCTTCCAATATTCCACGGGATCATTCATATCTGGTGGCGGCGGCTCCTCATCTCTCGTGTTTACGTTGCGCTTCTCGTCCTTGGGAGGTGGGGGCGGTGGGGGATTTGGGTCGGTGAATTTGGGCGTAACCTTTGGGTCGCGATAGAGAGCAAGGAGATCGTCCAACGCGACCGAGGTGTCAGTAATAACTCCGCAGTTCGCGTCCTCCTGTGACCACTTCTTCATACTCAGACGAGTGTAAGCATCGCAATCAGTCATGTAGTATGGAATCAACGTATCCCATCCGTTGATGTCCTCGAGCGCGCGGGGATTTTGCAACGTGAGATGGTCGTAGGCGAAGAATCGTAGACCCCATCTATCGTCCGTGACCAGAGTGCGGTTTAACTCCTCGAGACATAGCGTGTAGAGGCTCTTGTAGCCCGGCTCGCCTGCGCGAGGCGTCAGGTTCTCGTAGCCATTTTCATGGCCCAAGGCTAAAACGTCCACTGCATTGCCCCAAATTAGCTCACTACTCTTATATAATACGGCAATGTTCCTTCATTCGACGGGCGCAGCAATAGTGATTGAGCGTTCATAGTGCCGATAATAGTGATGGAACGGTACTTACTATGACTCCAGAAATAATAAGGCCACTCATGTGTATAAGACATCGACAAATAGAAATTCTGGAGCTGTGCGAAAGTCAATAACACCGGCGTCTGCACAATCTGGACGCCGAGCTTCTTGAGCGCCGCATGGTTAAGGTACCAGGGGTGTTGCAGACTCAGCTGGCCGCGAGCGTTGGCCTGTTGCATACCCGTGTTTTCGACGACATAGATCTGCTCAGGCGGCCAACCCGCCGTGATATAGGACACGACAGTTTGTAACAGCATGGGCCACGACCGCGTGAAGCCTATCACCAGTGGCGGCGCGATTGGTACACCATATTTCTTCCAACCATCTTTCTCCGGGATGTTGTACGACGGGATAGGTGGCGGTGTCGATGTTTCTAGAGCCGGAAAGGGGTCTAATATCGGAGGAGGTGTAAACGTGGGCGTTGGTTTATATTTTGGATGTGGAGATTCCTTATTGTCGGCGCCAGTGATGATATGGCTATCTTTGAACTTAGATATTGAATCCCTAACAGTATTGTTGCGAAATGCTAGGAGGACGAGGACAGCGATACTGAATAACGCCGCCGTCTGATATATTAGACGCTTCGAACGTAGCACCAACATGGTTGGTCAGACACAACTGTGAACTTTGAGTATATGTGCGTGCCAGGTCCACCAAGTTCCATGTACAATTTGTTTTTAATCAGCGCATTGGTTATTCACCAACGGCTCGTTATAGAAGATCTTGTCTGGTTTCGTCTGGTTTGAATTTTACCTCCATATTACTTTTCAACACAGTAATCGGAGTGGAAATATAACGCGAGATGACAACGGGCGAGACAAACTAAGCTTATGGGGAAGACCCAAAGATAAAATGAAATGGGAATAAGGGTGGACTACTCCAAAATACTACTAAAGGACAAAGGCCAAAATACGTGGGCAATACGAGATGTTTCCAATCATGTTGCATTCGTATATCTAATCTGGACGGTCTGGTCCAGGGCGAGCTACGCGACATGATCTCATTCTTCGCTCATGGGCATTCTTTGACGCCGATACTAGCACAATCCACTTAATTCTTTAAGATCCCACTAGTTACTGGCTGGACCAGAAATTTGGATAGGGCTGTGTTGTTGCATGACGGGAATAAGAGGGAAGAAGATCAAGCGTCAGCCGTTGCGGGAGATTAGATAGGGTTACGCCTATTCCCCTTTGGCTATCGTGATGTTTGTTCTCCATAGGAGTTTTGCATGGGAGCCAGAGAAAATAGCATTTAGGCAGAAGAATAAAATCTATGACGATGGAGGCTTGTGCGGACGAAGTAGGTATCAAAAGCATACAGAGTGGGTTAGGCCGCACATTAGGTTGAAGTGGATTATGCCGCTATCCGGATCTTTGTCTCCGCTTGCTGCTCTCTCGTGAAGTCTTGGATGCGTACTCTTTATACGCCGCATCCCGGAAATTGTCTTCAAAACGAGAGTATTCTTTATTATATTGTGTCCTAAAATTTTGTTGATCAAGTATGTAGGGAATTTGGCGTATATGTTATTTTTGAATCCATTAGCTATGATATGTGATACTCCGTAGTCTGCTCGGACGTTAGTGATCCTCCGTATTTTGATCGGACGTAAGTGAACCCGACGAAGAACCTGGAGACTTTAGGCACAGTCTTTCCTCAAACGCAAACTTGTTTCACTAATCTGAAAAAGCCTCGGAATCTCATTTGTTTAAACGCTACCTCTTATGTGCTTATGTCCCCTGTCACACAAATACTACATATTGGCGTTACTATTGGTAATCCCACCCCTGTCGCCTGCAGGAACATTTCGCACTTTCTCGTATGCTGTACACTTTGTTATAGTTCGCGGCTTAGAAATCATGTAACACAAAGGTTCTGTAAGCTCCTCACACGACCACGTGTAATTTGACGTCGGTCTATCACTGTATTGCTGTAGTCTGGAGCTTACGAAAAGGTTATTACTTTACTAAGCTAAAGGCTTATATAAATGGGGTAAGCTTGATATCGTTCTTCCAGAATGGCACCCCATGTTCCGCTATACTGTATCTGGATATCTCATGAACCTCTATGTCTCGTGTATCTTGTCATACTGCTTGCGACGAAGTAATTAGTTGAAGTCTTTGATGATTTCTAATCAGCTTATAAAATGGCTCAGAGCAACGGGTAACATACTAAGAAAAGAGCTGTAGTGGCTTACAAAGACTCTGCACAGGAAAAAACACAGAAAATAAAAATGGGGTTGGAAAGAAAAGGAAGAAGGAAAATTGGAGAAATTTCTGGCACAGCATTTTTAACATATTAATCAAATGGGCGGCAAGACATCGAATTTAGAAAAAGTCAGTATGAGGGTTGAACTCGTGACCTTTGTTTGTATCACTACCTAATGTTGTAATTTCTTATAATATTAGTACGATGCTCTAATGAAGCAAGATGAAAAAGAAAACGAAATTCAAAACATGATCAAAAGATAAATTGATGGTCCCAGTGAGGCTTGAACTCACGGCCTTCGCATTTACTCAATGTAATGATTGACTCATAATATTAGTACGACGCTCTAACCAACTGAGCTATGGGACCGGTTGATTGAAGTTGGAGAAATCTTACGCCATCAACTACGCTAAGCGAGCATCTGCGGCGAAATTTCGATAATGCAGTGTAGATGCAGCGGCGTGCCAACGTGATAGCCAGGCTCACTCCGCGTAGGATGAATGAATATTTTCAACATCATGTTTTCAAGAAACAGGACCCGAGTTGATGCGAAAGCCAGAAACAGAGTAAGGTAGACAAGACGAGATAAACTAGATTGGCGCTTAGCAGCTTGCTGATATACAGCTATCAAAGAAATGCCTCCTAGACTTTATGGGTATACAATATGCTGGGTAACTCGCGCGCCTACAGATTTCTGGCTCATGTCTGACCATCAAGCCGGAGTCACGCTGACCTGACAACCATACAACATAGACAGATTGATTCCTAGTTTCTGAATAGGCGGCCTATCATCTCGGCGCTCGATCGTCTTGAACGCCTGCAACAGCCGAAGCGTGATCAGGGCCACTGTAGCACACTCTGAGTTAGTCACTGCTGCCTGGGCATGGAGATTTTGACATGTAAATGAGAATTTATTATACTTGGAACCGGCCAGAATAAGGAGGATGAACGCTGGTAAATCACTTACTTTGTGTCAAGGCAAACTGCTGTCCAATGCAGATGCGCGGGCCCGCGTTAAATGGGAGGTATTCGAGTCTGATTGATGATCATTTGAGTCAGCCCATCTTTTCCAACCTGTCGAGAGAGGAGTGCCCCCATCGCATCCCCTTCAAACTTCACGAACAAAGAAGACGGCAATTCCGCAAAAAAAAAAAAAAAAAAACATACGTAACCCTCAAGTCCTCCCACCTCTCAGGCCGGAACTCGTCCGCATCCTTGCCGAAGATATCCGTGCGCCGATGCATGATCCAAGGCACGTACCGCACACTCGTCCCCTTCCTGACGAAGACGGGCGACTTCCCGTCGGGTCCGCCGCCGCGGGGCAGCACCGTATCGCGGACCGCCTCTCGCGTATTCGTGGCCACGGGTGGGTTGAGGCGCAGAGCCTCCTTGAGGACCCAGTTGAGGTACCTCATGCCACGTAGTTGTTCCCACGTCAGATCCTCGGAACCCAGCCCCGCGATCTCGGCCTGAATGGCGGCCACGATATTTGGGCGGCACGAGAGCTCAAAAAATAGGTAGGACAGCACGCTGGTGGTCGTGTCACGGCCGGCCGTGAATATGCTGAGGACTGAGTTGTTGCGTGAGATGGTGTTAGCGAATATCCTCCTTATGTTAGGCCACGATCCTGTGATGATCTATCTTTCGACGATAGCCAAGATGGGTAGTGAATATTTTCAGGACGGAAAAGAAAAGAAGTGGGAGAGTGTAGGAGAGAAGAGATGAACTCACGATGGTCACATATCACCTTATCTGACTCTCCAGACTTGAGCAACTCATTCAGAAAGACGTACTTCCCGGCCTCCCAATCCTTATTCCCCTCGCGTGCTCTCAGATCCGTGACATACTTAGTGACGAATGTCCTCAAGAACGTAGCGTACGTGTCCAGCTCCGGGTCGCGTCTCAGCATCGTGAGCCAGCCCAGGCGGGCGCGCCATGCAATCTTCAACATGGCCTGGTCGAAGTAGCTTCCGAACCGATGGCTGTCCTCGGGCGCGTTGCCCAGGAGGTCCGTGGACTGCCCAAACATGAAATCAGAGATGGTGTCCGTCGTGAGCATGGAAAACAGAGCCTGCAGGTCGAAGACGGTGCCGTCGGCGGGAATGCGCGCGATGAGTTTGCGCACATGCCGGTCCACGCATGCAAGGTCGGAGATCTGGTCGCGCACGAACGCCGGGCGGAGGATGGCACGGGAATGCTGCCATTCGGCGCCGTTGGTTGTGAAGATAGAGTCTATCGAGCTGTTAATCATACGTAGACGTAGATACACTTTGTATGCATCGTGATATGAAATATGAGATACAAGGTACAGGATATGAAATGAGGATACGTAATGTGCCTGGAGTAATCTATACAAGCTGCTATCAATCGTCACATACGTCAAACTCCATCTGTAAGCGGACAGACAGACACATGATACTGATTGTAGGTGAGATACACAGGGCGCCCGTCAGAAAAACGACAGCTACATATATCATCATCACCACGTCACGTATACACAAGCACATCAGTCTTTTTGTTTTCTTTTTTTCGCGTAGAAAGAAGAAGAAAAGACAGAATCAAAACACAACTCACGCATTCCAAGCACGGGCAAAAAACCCCGAATGCGCAACCGCGGCACATCCCAATCCGCAAAGCTAGTACAAAGCACGGCCTGGACATTCTCGGGCTCGACAGTAGTAACGCAATCGTCGCCGTCGGGAAAGATGCCGTGGACAAAGGTATATCCCAGCTTCTCCAGGACCTCGCGGCGCTTCTGCAACATGACGTTGTCCTTGAGAGACCGCGCCGTCTCGAGCAGGAAGCGGATGCCCAGGAGGTCGTGGCGCGGGTATCGCGGGGCGGGCTTGCATCCCAGCTTGGCTGCGCGGACGTGGTACGCGTGGTCGCTGCGCAGGGGGCCGAGGACGTATAGGGCCAGGAGTGCCAGTACCGCGAGCGGGAGGCGGAGGACCCGGCCCGTGGATAGGACGGCCAGACACAGGGCTCCGGCGTAGAACCGGAGCTGTGCGGCGCGGGGTTGCATTCTAGGGGCTGGGAGGGGTGATGTTGACTGCTGCATGTCTAGACAACCCTTACTGGTAGTGGTCTCAATAATGCTACATAGCAATATCAACGATATCAGCAATAACTCACACCAACAATAAGCAAACGTGTTGTACCCGGATTACGCTATGCGATCCTCTTCCCGCTCATGTAAGCTAGATAGAATCGAGAAAAACGGATGAGTGAACATCCAAGGTGTGAAAGAAGGGATATAACATGTGTTACTGAGGGGGGGTCACGTGGGTGTATATCTTCATTGACTTACTTGAGTCTTACACACCGAGGATCTCCTTGGGGTCATGGTCATGTGTCGTACTCTATCCGTAACATGTGACACCATAGTAAGCGTTCACTCACTCACCATCTTGGCCTAAGCAATTTACTTCTTCGTGTTTCAGGCAAAGCTTCTATATGATAGAAGCTTGTGTTTTATAAGCTGTAACAAAATCATTCGCATTTCTATCATTTTTGTTTAACATAACGCCGTTATAGCCAACCCTTTTTCCAGAAACAGTATTCGTCCTGTCTATGTAGATCCAAAGTCTTCCTCATCATCGTAAGTCATAACACAGTTAGGTTCATAATATCATCATCATCGTTTGACAATCTCTGTAACTACCTTCAATGTCTTCTCTGCTTGGTCTGAGGTACCTAGCACAGGTAAGTAAGAGAGACAGACTATTGAGCAATCATGAGCGCACCAATCGGTCCCCGACGGGTCTCCACAATCCTACCGTCACCGACAAAAGCCACAAACAACCGTCCCACAGATAGTCAATATACAAAAAAAGTCAAATGACGCCATTTCAATGCAATGCGTTGCAAAAAGACAGATGCGACCGAGAAATGACAAGCCTGCGAGGTCTGAGCACCTCCCTGCCCGCTCAGGGGTCAAATGCAAGATGACGTCTAATCGTAATCATGGTCTAGGTGGGGAATCACTGGCGAAGAATTCCATCGCGTTGGGAAGAGACCGACCAGGGTCCGAGCCGGTGCGTCTAATGACTAGGAAAAAAATGCAGATCCGTGCATGTATTCGTGTTCGTCGTGAGCCATAGGGCTGTCGTCGCGGGCGGGCGTGAATGGTCCATGCGTAACACCGGTGATAGCACAGCTCACGCTTCAGTGTGTGATGGGTATCTCAAAAAAAAAGTAGGAAAAGGCTGTTTATACCACAGCCGTCGCGGCAAAAGAAACCAATCACAAGTTGGAGGCGACTCGCGCCGTCGGTAGATGCTCATCAATGCCTCTTTTGGTCGTTGGTGCTCGGAGCATTCTTCGTGCCCGAGGACAAGTGATGATGCGGGTGATGGTGATGGTGATGTTCGTGGTGTTGATGGTGGTGGTGATAATGGTGCTGCTGTCGTATTCTCTGGCGGCCGCGACGCTCCTCCTGCTCCTCCTCTATCGGGTAATTGAGCGACTGCCTCTCCTCTTCGTACCATGCACTCAAGCTCTTCCCGCCAAACATCAGATCCTCGTCATCGATGACAATGGGCTCCATCCAGGCGTGGCCGTAGCCGCCATGCTGCCCGTCGGATGAGTTGACGTCGACTTCGGGAAGGTAGTAGTACTGCGCATCCTCTGACGGAGGACGGGACGATGCGGTTGAGGACACCATCTTGAGAGGCGATGAGCCGAGGTGGTTCTGAGACGATAGCGAAGACTTGGAGGACTTCTGCGAGGTCCTGTGAGAATGACGAGCTGTGGGCGGATGTGGCGAATGCGTCGTGGACTGGGCGGATTGGTGAGACGACGAGTAAGTGTGTGGCGAGGGTAAGTGATGACTATGTTGCGAACTTGGCCTGCTGTGTTGTTGTTGATGTTGATGTTGCTGTCGTGTTCTGGTGTAGTCGTCGGAAAGACGCGGGCTATTGCGTGTCATGGGCGTGCCGGCTGTGGGAATAAATGGAGGAGGAGGAGGTTGGAACTCGGGAGCAGACTAGTGTGCGTGTGTAGTTATATATATAATATGTAGAGTCGCTTTTGTGTAGTTGTACAAGGTGACGAGTCAGTCTTATTTCCGTCTTCTGGTGCGACGCGTGGCAGGTGACAGTTGGGTGGTATTGTCGATTTTTAGGCGGTGTCGATGTGTATGTGTGAGAGTGTGTGAGTGTGTATATGTGTTGTATGTGTTGGTGTGCGATGTCGGTGTTGGCAGATGATGGATGACCTGTATATAGCCTAGCCGATAGGGTACTATGCTCCCCTACCCTACTATAGATCTTATTATATAAGCCTTGTGAGACCAGTGACGAGATGTGCACAGACGGGACAGGCTGGTATGCTGGTATAGTATATTGATTTCCTGATGATGTTGCTGA